TCAATCATCTTACACCAATTTAAAACTACCCCTCAAAAGGCTCTAAAAAATAATACGTAAATTTAAAAGCATTTTTTACCCTTGCAAATGTGATCTGAGGACCCAAGAAAAAAAACTCATTACTGGGGAAATAAAATATAATCAATGGAATCTTAAGGTTGTCTGTTTTTCTAATTTAATTAAATGTGTGTTTTATATATATATATATATATATATATATATATATATATATATATATATATATATATATATATATATTGTGGTCTGATGATTACGTCTAGCATGAAACAGCCTGTCGCCTCTGAGTGTTTACGTCAGTGTACACTTTTTTATTTACATACGCTCTATCCTTGGTATTGAACACTTTATTCCATAAATACAGCACCTTACTTATTCATATATATATATATATATATATATATATATATATATATATATATATATATATAATGATAATATTTGCTAATCAGTTGTATAATTCCAGAGAGGATATAGATCCAGAGAGAGTTCAATGTCAATAACAGAGCAAATAATAGAAATAGAATGAAATATTACCATGATCTTTTAAAATCTTCGTTTTCATAATTATAAGGAACCAAATATGTAGTTCTACTATTAAAAGAGAACCTCTATTAATCCCTGAAAATAGATGTTTATTTCTAGAAATCGGGTTTAGATAGGTAAGGATGGCCAAACTTAACCACGCTCCCCACTTTTTAGGCCATGTGCCACAATTATTGTATTTTACATTAATAAATAGAATCTATCTATCTATCTATCTATCTATCTATCTATCTATCTATGTAAGCCTCCGGATCATACTCCTACCTTCTAAAGGTTTTCATCTTTATTTCGCGGTTGACAAAATATCCAGAGGTTTTCGTATGCCACGTAGGCTCTGGAGACACAAACACAAACACACACTGTCCGATTGTTCTTTTTATCTGAGCGCTTTCGGTTAGACATTTAAAAAAGTTATATATATATATATATATATTTATCTATCTATCTTATCTCAGTCTTTTGACATTTGATCGCGGTTCAAGATCATCGGAAATTCCCACTGAATCATAATTTGTTTCTTTCACATTTCTCGGAATTAACAAGTTTAGTTTCACTTTATCTTTGTTTCAAAATCATGAAATTCAAAATACGTTTTGCATTTTATAAGAAATAAAAAAAATATGAATTTGATATCAATAATAAAGAGTCTAATTTTATTCGACATTTTGCTTTTATTTCCATAAAATGATAATTTATGGAATTAAATACGATTTTATTCGGATTTATTTATTATAATTTTTTTTTTGTCTTTTTCCCTTTCATATTAAACAAAAGTCGTTTTATTTCATGTTCAGTGATGTGTTTATTCTTGTCCAATGAAATGCCTTATATTTTTATGACGTCATCCTACATTCTGATTGGTTGTTCCTATTTAAACCCTTTTGGGCGATGGCAATAGTCAGTTTGTTTCAAACAATTCAACGAAGAAGACAACGTTTGCAGTTTGTTTTGGTCAAACGCCATTTGACAAAAAACCAGTTCCACTCAAGTGAAATTGAAATCAACTGTAAGTATGAATTTTATTGATTTTCAAATCATTTAAATTTCTTAAAAGTTACCATTTCACCCAAAGCAAGGCAAGAAAGCCACTTCGACGCAAGTGTTTGCTGAATATGAAAAAATAATGATTGTTTTGTCTATCTATATTTCAGTCCTTTACATATCTATCTATCTATCTATCTATCTATCTATCTATCTATCTATCTATCTATCCCAGTCCTTTTCATATCTCTCTCTCTCTCTCTCTCTCTCTCTCTCTAAATCTATATATATATATATATATATATATATATATATATATATATATATATATATATATGTACTAGCAGTAGAGCCCGGCGTTGCCCGGGGATATAACAGTAAAAGATAGATCAAGTATCGACCATCATAAAGACTGAAAAATAAAATTGACAAAGATTATTGTTTAAGTTTGACGGACACTCATGTCTTAGTTTTTTTTTTTTTTTTTTTTTTTTACGAATTGGTCAAACCCAAACTCAAACAAAAACATTGTTTTCGATCGTTATGAGTCTATCGATTGAATAGAATTTTATTATAAACAATTGTCTTGTAAATGGAATTTTTAAAGCATTCTGAATGTAAAAATAAAGAAAAAAAGTGTGCAAGACAATAAGAAACACTACATGCCAAAAAAAAGTGAAGTTTTGTTGAAATCGGTTGAAAAATGTAGGTAGCTTTTCTGTAATCTTTTAGTTTTATAATTTATGATTTTTACTTATTGAATACAGTAAAAAAATTGCATATTTTGCTTGTGGTGATTCATAAATAGAATTCTGATTTGAATATATTTTCCACTCGTTGTTTCTAATACAAAAAATATTAACTTTATTTGGGTTTATTAATTTATTACAAAGGTAAGTACTGTGTTCTTTCCTTACTAATTATCATCTTCGAAATATTGTGGTTTTTTTTTTTGTCGATCAGATTTCTTAAGTCGGCATTTTTTAAATTATTTCTTAATACTTTCTTTTAAATTTTGAATTAATTTCAAATAGAATCAATGCCTTATTGATCTGCATTGTAACAAATTGCAAAGGGAATTGAAAAAACGGCCCTAAAGTACGTGGAATTATGTTTCCCTAAAGATAAAGAATTATCCGATGTTTCGATTCGTACAATCAGTAGAGATCGTTAGATTATTGTTTAAGGTTGACGGACACGCATGTTTTAATTATTTTTTTTTTTTTTTACGAATTGGTCAAACTCAAACAAAAACATTGTTTTCAATAGTTATGAGTCTACCGATTGAATAGAATTCTATTATAAACAATTGTCTTGTAATTCTGAATGTAAAAATAAAGAAAAAAGTGTGCAAAGACAATAAGAAACACTACCTGCCAAAAAAAAAAAAGTGAATGTTTGTTTTATCGGCTGAAAAATGTAAGAAATCCGATCCCATATATAAAGGAAACACACACACACACACACACACACACACACACACACACACACACACACACACACACACACACAACGTGGGTTTTTTAACACGATGTGAGTTGTCCCCTTTCATTCTCACGATGCGTCTTAAAAAAAACAATCGTGGTCTTCCCATTTTTGGCGCTGTTAGAACCACCACAAGGTAATTTTATGTAGTCCTGTGAAATTTTGTTGAAATCGGCTAAAAAATGTAAGAAATCCGATCCAATATATAAACGTTACACACACACACACACACACACACACACACACACACATACACAATCTGCATTTTATAATAATATATATATATATATATATCCTCTTTCTTTATTGTCTATCTATTTATGTACCGATCTAGGCAAATTCATTATCTATTTTAATGAGTGGATCAGTTTATTTAAGTAGATTTGTTCAATTTTTTTGTCGTAAAAAAAAATTAAAAAAAATAGAATCGTTTCGTAAACAGACGATAAAAGGCCGCCATCTTCAAATTTCTTAAAGTGTTGCCCGGTGAAATGGACATTAAACCAATTAACATCTGAATGTTAAAAGTGATTGTGAAGAGAGCGAATTGGAGCCTCCTTTTTCTCTTTTTTTCAGTCTCTCTGTTTCTTTTACCCTTTCTTTCTCGTCCTTTTTTCTCCCTCTCACCTGCAATGATAACCACTCCCTCCTTTGTTTCTTTCGATTTCTCTCACATATTCTCTCTTCTTGCCCATTCCTCCCATTGCATACTTCCCACCCCCTTTTTATCTCATGTAACGCCCTCCGGTCTAGTGGTGGGATTATTCTCGTCCAATGAAATGCCTTAAACTCGCATGACATCACATCGCTTATTCCTCCCTCCCTCTCCTTCACTTACTCTCTCTATGTTTATGGCTTTACATATTATTAGTGAACAACAAATTCAATGGCAAACAACAACAACAACAATAATAATAATCGTAGAAGCGTTGTTGTTGTTGTTCATTTGAGTGAAAAAAGCTGGATTAGATAAATAGACAGACTGATATATAAAATTTATTTGAGTTTGTACATGTCTCTGTGTGTGTGTGTGTGTGTGTGTGTGTGTGTGTGTGTGTGTGTGTGTGTGTGTGTGTGTGTGTGTGTGTGTTTTGTTTTTTTTTTTTCAAATTATGAAATTGTTTATTTTAGGTCATCTTTTACAGGGAGAGTTTAATAAATAGAAATTTTACAGAATTTTTGATCGCCTTTTAAAATAAAGATATTTTTAATTTTATTAGCAAATAAAATTATGATTTTAATGGATTTTGCTGGATTGTTTGAATAAAAAGAAGGGGAAAATTTCAAACTAATATTACACAGGCTCCAGAGGGGGGGCACTCCCAGGTCGTACCTCCCCTTCCAAAAGGGGAAGTGCTAAGGGGATGACTTGCACAATTATTCCACGGTATTGCGGGTAAGCCCACTTTAATCGATGACCTTGTGTCAGCTTCGTTTACGACGTAGGCTTGATGAAAAACCTGCTCTAGATTTTGATATGAGTCATGGAAATTTGGGTGAGGTCGTAGGTTTTTGAAAATAAATTCTACTTTCATTTTTTTTGTCCTTGACGAGCGGAGAAAAAACATGAACTAAATTTTCATTTCTCAAAATTTGATGGAAAAAATCGAATTTCATTTTATTTTCTCCGCATTCATAAAATTACATTTAAAATTAATTTCAGTTTTTACATTTGAAATAAAAGTTAATGTTAACTTAGATTTTTATGCCTATTATATAAATTGTAGATTTCAAATTCTATTAATTAAATATTAAATTATCGTTGCTAATTAATATTTAATTATTATGTCAATGATATCTGAATATAGATTTGAAATTCGACTGGAAAAGAAAAGTTGTCGTTATTTGTTAAAAAATTATTTCCATGAATTTTGAATGTTAATGAAATGAAAGTTAAACACAAAAAATCAATTTATATAAAAAGATAGACAATATATATTTGTATAGTTGAGGATTGAAGGTGAAAATGATTAGAAAGAGATGTAAATTTTGATGATTTTACCTGCAAGATAGATAGATAGATAGACAAATAGACATGAGGAGAGGCTGTAATAGATAGATTGATAGATAGGTAATGAGCTGAGGCTGGAATGGATAGATAGAGAGATAGATAGATAGATATAGAAAGGATTGAGATAGATAGATATATATAGATAGAGAGCTATAAGCAGAAGCTGAAATAGATAGATACATACATACATACATCCACACAGAGATAATGTGCAGACTAAAATAGATAGATACATACAAATATATATAGATGAGGTCAAGTCTGAAATAGATAGATAGATAGATAGATAGATAGATAGATAGATAGATAGATAGATAGATAGATAATGATCATGACTGAGATGGAATAGATAGATAGATAGAGAAATAGATAGATAGATGGAAATAGATAGATAGATAGATAGATAGATAGATAGATAGATAGATGAGTAGATAGAGGGATAGATAGATAATGAATGAGATGAGACAGGGAATGGATAGATAGATAGATATAGAACAAATGGATAAAAAGATTGAATGAGCGTAGACAGATAGATAGATAGATAGACAAATGGATAAATAGATTGATACGTAGACAGATAGATAGATACATACATACATAGATAGATAGATAGATAGATAGATAGATAGATAGATACATACATACATACATACATAGATGGACAGATATATATAGATAGAGAGATATGTGCGGAAATAGGCAGACAGATTATGTGCAGACTAAAATAGATAGATAGATATGAGCAGAAGCGGAAATAGATAGATAGATTGATATAGACAGACAGATAGGTAGATAGATGGATAGACAGATAATATAAAATGCAAATATTATGATAATGAAATTTTTACAAAACGTTTTGCGATCTCACATACACACATCTATATACAAGACCACATACATACACACACATATACAAGACCACATACACACACACACACACATATATATATACAAGACTGCATACATACACACACACACATATATACAAGACCACATACATACACACATAAGACACGTGTGTTTGTTTATTTGTGTCTATCAGTACATGTTTTTGTGCATGTTCTCTCTCTCTCTCTAATTCCTTTTTCCCTCTCTTCACATTCTTTCCCTCCCTCATTATCTTAGGAAACGCCCTTTAGTCAAGTGGTGTGAATATTCTCGTCCAATGAAATGCCTTAATCTCCTATGACGTCACAACGCTTTCCCGCTCAATTCACTTTGCGAGAAACACAACCAAGAAAGAAACGTCATTTTTTTTGTTTCCCAAATTTCAAGAAAAACTCATTTCATTCAAGTGAAATCGAAACGAAATCAAATTTAAATCAGAATTTTCATATCGATTTTCAAATAATCGAAATTTCCCAAATGTTTTCATCAAAACAACGAGAATTCTTGCTTTTAGTTTTTATTATTTCTTTAATCGCATTCATATTTAGAGACAAACTTTTTCTTATTACCTTTTATTTTTTTCTATTCATACAATTTTATAAAAAAAATGTCTTATCCGGATTCTGTGGTAAATTAAATTCGTTTTTAGTAAATATTTCTAATAAAGTTTTTCTAATGATATCTGAAAGATTAAAGATGACTTTTATTTATGTCGTCTGCTTATTTCTTTTCTTTCAATCATCGAATTTGTTTTCTTTGCTTCCTTCCTCCTTCTTTACTTCGTTTTTAGACAGTTTGTAATATTTCCGAAAACTTAATTCATTTCTTGACACTATTTAAATATATTGGTTCATTTTTATTAAAATGATGATTTTTTTTATCTTAAATGAAAAATAAACGAATGAGATTTTGTTTAATTTATATGACTTTTTTGTTCTTAAAAAAAGTTGTGTTTATTTTTTTCTTCTTTAAACGAAGTTTTTCATAAGAAAATAAACTTTTTTTAAAAATCAGGATCGATTTTATATTTTAACGATATTATAAACAGAACCCCCTTTATGTAAAAAAAAAAAAACATTTTCATTTCTGTCAATCGTCATGGCTTGAAAGTCTAATAAATGTTAATCGGCAAAAATATTTCTCAGGACCCCAAAAAAGAAACCATTTAAAAAAATATTTTAATGAGTGGACCAGTTTATTTTAAATGGATTCAATTTTTTCATAAAAAAAATGAATCGTTTCGTAAGCAGACGATAAAAAGCCGCCATTTTGAAATTTCTTAAATCATGTCCAGTGAAAGAAAGAGTGAAGCAATTTAATTAACATCTGAATGTTAAAAGTCATTGTGAAGACAGCAAATTGGAGCTTTTCTCTCTCTGTTACTTTTACCCTTTCTTTCCTTCCCTTTTCTCGTATTGGTCTTCTCTCTCTCTCTCTCTCTCTCTCTCTCCTCTGACTTCTGCATCGATAACCACTCTCTCCTTTGTTTCCTTCGATTTCTCTCACTTTTCATTCACTCTGACACACTATATTTCCTTCTCCCTCTCTCTCTCTATATTTTACTTTTTCTCTCTCACTCTCACTATTCCCCGTTCCCCACTCTCTCATATTTCATTCTCTTATCCCCCTCCCTCCTTTATTTATTTGTGATTTTAGAAGAAAACTGAAATTTTTCAGGAAATCGATTTGTTTTTCTTGTAAAATCTAAAAATTTCGGGTCATTTTATTTTAGGTTTTAGAAATCGACTTTTTATGGTTTTGAACTTTGACCTTTTTTTTATTTTCTAAAAAAGATTTTTTTTTCTTTCGAATTTTCAGATTTCATTTTTCCTGAACGAAATCTAAAAATGGCTTCGTCTTTTAGGAATGACATAAAAGAATCGAAAAAGCATCTCGTCGATTTGCAGGAAGATGTCGAAGAATTCGAAAAGCGGCTCCGTCGAGGGATTGAACGGACGAAGAAATCGATTGAACAATTATCAATCGATTGTGAATTGAATTGCTCAAAAGTCTGGCAGGAATTGGATGAATTTCTGGAAAAGACGAGGATGAAGGCCGCAGAGTTGTGCAACCAAATGAGAGAAAAGACGACTGAAGAAGAAAGGAAATGGCACCAAATCCTCGAAGAGAAAGAAAATCTCTCGAAGGAGGCGGGAAAATGGCTCATGGATTTGCGCCATTTGTTAGTTGCCAGCAATGACGACGTAGACGTTGTTTCTGGTATACGGTCGCTGGGAGCGGAGCTTTCAGGGCGGCTCCATGAATCGTTCTTTCCTGTGGAGGAAGGTCATTTTCTGGTGACCTTTCCAGAATGGTGCCAACGATCATTGAACCAGCTTCAAGAAGAAATCGTCGACTTTAAGACGGCAAAGACATGGCCCCAAAGGGAATTGGAACTTGAAAGCGAATGCCGCCTGCAGCATTCGAACCTGCGGTGGATTTTGTCGATTTCCGCCAGCGACGAAGACGGTCACGTGTTTGTTGTCGATTGGGGCGACAAATCGATCAAGGAATTCGGCGAGACTGGGAAAATCGTCGGCCGATGTCTCTTGGGGGACGAAGGATTCTCACCTTTGGACATTTGTTGTCTTTCTCAAGACAATTTCGTTGTTTGTGGGTCGGGGGGAGAACTTTTGTTTTTGGCGCGAAAAAAAAATCCGCCATTTTTAGAAAAAGAAAAAAGAATCAAAACAAAAAAAAATGAATTTTATTCTTTGTGTCAAACGAACGAAAAAATTTTCGTTTGTGATCGGAATTTTAAAGACATTTTTTGTTTTTCTAAAGAAGGAAATGAAATCAAAAGAATCCAACTTGAAAAATCGCTGGGGTCGGGTTTTCTCCCCCTCCTTCGTGCAGATCCGACGACCAGGAATTTGTGGGGGACAAGGTTTCGAATGTCGAATTTCTTCGTTTGGAATGAAAATGGCCAAATTCTTCAAATCATCGAAACTGAAAAAGAAATTTTCGATTTTTGTGCTGATGAATTTGGTCAGTTTTATTTTTGCAACAAGGAAGGAATTTTTTCTGTCTTACCAGAAAAAATTCTGTACAAATTTCCGAAAGAATCTGAAAATAATCCGAAGATTTTTGTTTCTGGAAAAAAATTGTTTGTTTTTTTTAAAATCGACGGAGAAAATTTAATGAAAATTTTCAAAATTAATAAAAAAAAAAACGTTAATTTTTCCTTGAATTTTACAAATAAAATTTATTTTAATTAAAATTTTTTTTTTTTATTTGAAAATTGAAAATTTAAAAACATAAAATTAATTTTAATTAAAATTGTTTTTTTGATTTTATTCTTTTTGATGTGAATAAATTTTCGTTTCTAAATTTTTGTAAATGTTTTTAATGATTTCCCAATATGTGTTCATAAATAAAACAGAAAAATTTTTCATTTTTCGTAATATGAGTCGAGGCAAATAAATAGTAAAAAAGAAAAAATGTTTATTAATTCTATGAGAAAAACCCCCCAAAAACGATGGATTTTACAAGATTTTTTCATTTATTGTCATTTGTTTTTTTGTTTCTCCGACCATCGAAAGTTGACAAAAAACGTGGAATTGAATTTTTAAATGGAATTTAAAATTAAAAAAAAAATCGATTGATCGATTTTTTTTTATTTTTTTATTTTTTTTATCGAGGAAATTTCTGAAATTTTTCCTTATTTTTCTTCTGATAAACAATATGAGATGAGTCAAATAATTAAAAATATTTTCTTCTTTCTTTCTTTCTTCGTGGTTGGATGGGGGTCATATTGATGCCCAGGGTAAGGAAAGAAAAAGAAATCGTCGACTTTAAGACGGTAAAGACATGGCCCCAAAGGGAATTGGAACTTGAAAGCGAATTCCGCTTTCGGGGTTCGAACCTGGCGTGGATTTTGTCGATGAGGATGACGTTTCGATCAGTGAATTCGGCGAGACTGGGGAATTCATCGACCAATGCCCCCGTAGGGACGAAGGATTCTTACCCCTGGACATTTGTTATCTTTCTCAAGACAATTTCGTTGTTTGTGGGTCGGGATAGTGGGGGGGAGAACTTTTGTTTTTGGCGCGAAGAAAAAATCCGCCATTTTTAGAAAAAGAAAAAAAAATGAAAACAAAAGAAAATCGATTTTTTTCTTTGTGTCAAACGAACGAAAAAATTTTCGTTTGTGATTCGAAATTTTAAAAAATTTTTTTGTTATTCAAAAGAAGGAAATGAAATCAAAAGAATCCAACTTAAAAAATCGCTGGGGTCGGGTTTTCTCCCCCTCCTTCGTGCCGATCCGACGACGGGGAATTTGTCGGGGACAAAACAAGGAATGTTGGAATTCTTCGTTTGGAATAAAAATGGCCAAATTCTTCAAATCATCGAAACTGAAAAAGAAATTTTCGATTTTTGTGCCGACGAATTTGGTCAGTTTTATTTTTGCAACAAGGAAGGAATTTTTTCTGTCTGGAAAAAAATTGTTTGTTTGTTTTGAAAAAGACGGAAAAAATTTAATGAAAATATTCAAAATTAATAAAAAAAAAAAAACTTTTTTCGTGAATTTTACAAACAAAATTTATTTTAATTAAAATTCTTTTTTTTTTTTAATTTATTTCATTGAAAATTTAAAAAATAAAATTAATTTTAATTAAAATTGTTTTTCGTTTTTCTTCTTTTTGATGTGAATAAATTTTCGTTTCTAAATTTTTATAAATGTTTTTAATGATTTTCCAATATGAGTTCAGGTAAATAAGACAGAAGAATGTTTATTTTTCGTAATATGAGTCGAGGCAAATAAATCTTTTAAAAAATGTTTAATAATTCTATGAAAAAAAAAAACAATGGATTTTACAAGATTTTTTCATTTGTTGTCAGTTTGGGATGTAGAAAGAATTACATAGTAGAGTAGACTGACCTGTCTAGCCTTGAATGACAACAAGGGAAAAATCTTTGGGAATCCACTCCATACAAAGATTAAATGACATTTCACATATATTGCAACAAAGAAAAAGGAGTTTGTGGAGAGCCATAACTGCTTACTCTTAGGTTCGGAATTAAAAGGGTAGGATGGAATTAAAGGGACCAAACGTTCTACTCCGAACGGGAGATTATCTCCTGAAGGGGAGAAAAGCAACAGAGAGGTGGGGGGTGGGAAATAAAAGAAGGACTCATTGTTGTCGTTGTTGTTATTTTGGTTGTTGTTGTTTTAGTAGAAGAAGAAGAAAGGAAGAGAAAAAATAACGTCATCATGATCATCATGATCATCATCGTCATCGTCATCATGATCATCGTCATCATCTTTAACAATCATAAAGTAATTTCCATGAAATAGATTTAAGAATACAATACTTCTTTTTCCCAGGCTCCTCCTCCTCCCATAATGTCAGCTTCTCTTTTCTCCCCCTTCATTGTTTTTATCTTTTCTTGATGTTTTTCTCTCCCTCTACTTTTTCTCTCTCCCTCCCCCCTCTCTCTCTCTCTCTCTCTCTCTCTCTCTTACTCTGTATCGTTCCCGCTCTCTTTTACGATATCAAGAGGAAAGCAACAAAATAGAAACTGAATTTTAAACAATCCAAGGGAAATAACTCTGATTATTTTTTTTTCTTATTCCCCTTGAATTGATTCTTTATTTGGGGGTTTAACGCCTTTTGTTTTTCTTATTCTATTCAAATCTATGAAAAAAATTATCGGAAATTCGTTAATAAATCGATTATTAATCGAACATTTGATTATTTATTGATATTTGTGTTTTCATTCTGATAAATGTGGCCGAAAAAAATTTGCCCGAAATCTTTTGCTTTTTTTTTTTCTTATTTTTGGATACAAAACAGAATCAATTTCTTTTAGTATTTGGAGAGAAAAGCCGAAAGATGGAATTGAAACCGGGAAAATTTATTTGTAAATTCTTTTTTAATTATAATATTAGACTTTCTAAATAAAAAAATGTAAAACGCATTTTAAATACTTTAAATGTCTTCTTTGAACTTAAATTTTTCTTCCATTTCAAAGATAATCGCCTAAAAAGTTAATCCGAATAAAAGGAAAAATTAATTTCCGTATATAAATAAACTTTTTAGGCATTTTTACAAGTTTGGATGTTTTTCGAAGTCTGTTAGTAAATTTAAGGATTAATTAATTGGATTTTCTTAATCTAATGTTTACTTTTACTTAAAATAGAATGAAAATAACGTTTTATTTACGCACGGCTGCCTGTCGGGGTCAAAGGGTACAATATAAATTAATTCCAATTACACCCAAAAAGGTGCGCATAAAAGTAAAAATAAAACTTAAAGAAATACGGCAGACCAGCAGTGACATAATAGTTTCTTTTTATTTTTTAAAATAAATTTTCTTTAACCAATAGTTTGAAAATATGTTTTTTTTATTCTATACACTTTTATTAAAATTAGGATAATGGATAAATTTGAAAGCATTAAGTCGCTCCCTAAAGAAAAATACAACGTAAATGTAATTTGTGTTCAATTAACGTGAAAAGAAAAGAATTTATTCCAAATGTAAATTTTAGAAAATTGACAATATAAAATATTATTTTCTGCAAATGAATTAATTTCGTTGCAATTGTGAAATTTTTCTTGGTGTTGAGTCGGAGAAATTATGCAGGAAAAAAATAAAAGAATGATTTCTTTTAAAATAATGAAAATTTCAAAGTACAATTTCTGTTTAATGACTGAAGTCAGAATTGGTTTTTATTGTAGAGTAGAATCTGTAAATAAATGCAAGAAAACAGAGACACGCAAATAAACAAAACAACCTTAACTATGGAACGGAAAATTGAATTCATTATACAAAAAATGCCTGAACGGAAGATATGTGTTGTGATGAGATAACCCAACTTCCCCATTCACGATAATGGACGGACTGGTTGCCGATAAAGTACGACCACAGCGGACAGTGAAGAAGTCTTCGTTTGTTAACACCTATTGAGGTTAGCATACTCCTGACTCTGTCTCTGTATTTTGACATACCTACATCCGATTATAAAACTATTATTGAAAAACCAACACTCGGGTTTATTTTGTTTATTATATCTTGCACGAGATATAACAATATGGAATTGAATAATACCCTTCCGATTTTGAATAATAGTCAGTCTATGCGTGATATAAGAATTATGCCCTTTTTGTACATCCATACCAAAACTAAATTAATCGTTGTCCAATCTGAAAGAAAATAACTTGTTTTATTAAATTATGCAAGCAGCAATTCTCAAAAACATGTTTTGAGTTTTTATTGAATTCATTTTGGAAAAATGCGGGACAAAGTCCCGTATGTTGACATTTGATATTGAATAAATTTTTGACTGAAATAATATTTTTGAGGATTCTTCCTTGTCTAACAACAAAAACTGGACCGACCCACAAAGAAATTACAAAGTACACACCAGACATAAGAAGTGGGGTGAAACGTACCTCCCAAAAATATTTCCTAAAATTCAATTAAATCTTTTGCTTGATTTGTGGCAAAATTTTAAAAGCGAATTTTGTTTTCATTTCAGAAAAAAAATCCATCTTGGTTGTACGCATTTTATAAACAAAATATTTAATTGCATCAAATCGGTTGGTATTATGTCGAGGAGATTGAACACTAAGAATGGAAGCTGTCCAGTTTGAGAGCTTCGATAATTTGCAGTGAGAAGATATTTGTTTCCGACTGGAACATATATATATATATATATATATATATATATATATATAATGATAAAGTTACTTGGTAATCCGTATGGATAATTCCAGGGAGGATGTAAATCCCGAGAGCTCAATGTAGTAAACAGAGCAAGTAAGAATTAATTAACAAATCGGAGACTTCAAAAAGCCATGGTGATATTTTATATTTCGCGAGACTAATAAAATTCGGTTTCGCTTCATCAGACCTGACGGTTTCAAATAATAATAATAAAAATAATAATAATACAGACAATATAATAAATAAAATAATTAAATAGAATCATAATTAAATAAAATTAATGAAAAAAAAAATATATTTAGGGCATCACGTCAGCACATCTCAACCAAATGGAGAGATTCGCATTTTGTATCCCGACATGTAATGTTCGTTTTTTTTCATGTTGTTACCTACTAAATTGAAAAAAAAAGTACCAAGACGCCTGAAATGATTTGTTGGGCTTTTTGTAAAGATTTCTTCAAAATTGGTTGATTGAAAATATAAACATTGAAGCTCACCAATGACCAGCAAAACGCCAGAGAATTATAAAAAAATATGTTTCACTCATCCAAAAATTGTATTAATTCTCTTACTTGACTGCAATCATTTATGGAGTCAGCCAGGAGGTCCTCAGGATAAACCTGAACAGGAGGAAATTTCCAAAAATCACTTTATTTATTTTCTTCTTAATCTGTTGTTTATGTCTCGGGATATTTTCTCCTTTTCTGTTTTAATACTAATCAATTATTTCTTGCGATGTCCACTGAGTCTAAGCCATCAATATTTAATCCAACGATTGACCTCACATTTTCTGTGACAACAGATTCATGAAGCAACGATTTATCCACAAGGATATTGTTACAAAATGTCGGGATTATAACAACAAAGATGTCAATAATGATAAGTCGGCATCGTAGAAATTGAGAGAGAAAAGCATTTTGTTGTCGCAGATTTCGTCGCCTAATTACTGAGCCTCAATGACGGATGGAAGAGAAACCAGAATCAACGTGTATTTTCCAAAGAGAATTCTTTTCATGTGCATGGTGTCCAAATAGACATTTTTTTTGGTGAGGAAGGTTTTTAATCCTAATCTTCCTCCAGTACAATGATCAGGACCCACTCAAGGTAGCGGATTACTGTTAAAGGGAAATGATGAATAAAATGTGTTTAAAAGATGATGGAAACAAGATGATGGGAACAAGATGTCGGCATGAAACTTCTTCCTTACAGTTGGAATATGACAGAAATGAGGATGATTTGATTCTGTGAAACTAGCATGGCATGTCCTAGCTGTAAATATTTGAGCTGGTTTAACTAAAGAATGGAGCGCTCATCTAAACATTGGCCATGGAAAAAACGACAGAGTAGGAACAGGTATGTAATTTTGAATTCAGTTGAATTGGCTAGATCCAACCGTAAGTTCTATGCTAAGAGTTTCTTTTCTCGCACTTTTTTCCTGTTCTATGCTTTCCGGTCAACTTTGATCTTCAAAAATTTAAATGCAATGTCAATCGATATTTACTGACTTCCTGATTACTCTTCTATTGTTTTCTCTCCTTAATAATGTTCCTTTTTTTCTAATTCTTTTATATCCGGTAAACCATTGTGTCTTAGTGGCTTTACTGCCTTGTTTGGGATAAATTCAATTTAAAAAAAGAGAATTAAGGCAGAGAAGTAGGGATTTAGCAGCTCCAAGCCAGATATAGCATCAATAATTAGTTTCTGGTCTAATCTAACACTTTTAAAGATAAAGCATGGCAGGAGGAGTCTGGTAATTCCTGGAGAGACAGAATGAAAAGATCATTCTTCCAAAATCTTTACTAAGGGACCATACGAGTTCTGTTTGAGTTCTGGAGAGAATCTGAGATCCATGGAGCTTCAATGAGAATGGAGCCATTCATCATGTCTACAGAAAACTCAGGCATTGATTAATGATGGCGAAATGATAATAGCTTGATTTTTTATATATTGAAAGTTAAAAGCCACTTATTTCCCCATCGATCTGTTCGATCTAGTTGAACCGAGAGATCAGCAGATGTTTCGATCATCTGGCGATTTTTAAATTCCACCCATAAATATGTATGCCCAAATTGAAATAATATAATTTACATTTTATTTACAGGATTAATAATACACTTTTAAGTCTTCATCTGGGAACTTCCACCCCGAATAAATCTTGCATTTGTTAATATCCAAAACATTTCTATGGATCCAGTTTATCTATAATTGTACACCATTTAAGACTTGACTGTATGTCTACAAACTCTGTCAAATACTCAACATTTTGAAATTCTACAGAAAATATTGAAGTAAATTAATCTTACAGCACATTTCACTACTATATTTATTCACTTATCACATTATTACCCAGGGATCCACTGATGGTTTTAATTGAGTCTATAATCATTCATTGTCAACTAATAAAAACACATGTTTGCAGAATGGATGAAATTTATTTGTCAAAATCCCGTATTTAGCCAGCGACAGATTTTCCTGCTTTTACTACTGTCAAGATGTTTCTAAATGAGCGGGACAAAATTATAACTTATCCCAAAAAAGAATACTTGGATTAAAATTAAAAACAAATCAAAGGAAGATAACCATTTTTATTTTAAGGACGGCTACTCTGTAGAATAGCAAGAGAGATTAAAATTTCCTTTACAAATTTTCTTTTGCAGTTATTTATAAAGAGTAAATCGAAAGATTGTGCAGCAGCAATATTTTAAATTGGGTGTATCTGTTGTAACGTAGGAAAGGTTAGTGAATAAGAATAACCTATACGAAGGTTGGAAATGAACGATAATATTTATTACAGGAAAG